GAATGAACATGCACTTGAAACACTTTCTCATTTTCGTTCTTTTTTTTTCTCTCTTTATCTCTACTCTGAGTTGTTTACTGTATCACGTTTTGTGAAGTGATTAAAATGGAGTTAGATCGATGAATAATACGGTCTCCAAGACAAATTTTCGAATTGTTAAATAAAATCCATAAGACAACTTCGTGTAATAATATAGACGAGAAGGTAAATATTTTAGACGAAGCTGGCCTTGGAGAGGGAGACAAAAGAAATCGTGAGTATATAATAAAATGCAATTACATGTTACATTAGAAGAATGAATTAGTGTGCGAATGCAAACGAAGATTTTTCTGAAAGCAGGACGAATTAGTGTGAAACCAAGATTTTGACCTTAGTGATGATTTTTTGTCGATTGGGATAGATTCGCGCTCTAGTAAATGTACTAGAGATCCAGTACTTAGCTACTTGCTCTAAAGTACTTGGTTAAACACTTGTCAAGTATTTTTAGATTTAATATGTGCCAAGTACTTGGAAGAACTTCGGACACTTGCATATATTTCGCAAGTACTTACCAAATACTTGATGAAGTACTTATCTAGTACTAATATTTGTTAAATTACTTGATAAGTACCTCTTTTACTTGCACAAAACTCCAGGAACTCTGGACATTTACTTACCAAAGTACTTTTTTAAGTACTTGGTCTCAAGTACATCCACTAGGGCGCTCCTAAAGTTTTCAGAAATGTGAAAAATTAACTCAATCTGCCTATTATTAAGAATATGGTTAGATTGATAAGGGAAAAGACGAAGCCATTTGCTCACATATTAGATTAAACGACTTTCATCGTCTTTCGCTTGCCTAAAGACAAAACAGCTGTTTCTCAACGTTGAAACAGATTATTGACCTTGCCATCCACTGATATTTTTTTGTCTTGCCGTCTTTTCTCCTTTATTACCTTTATTTATCAATTCTACAGTCTGATCAGAAAAAAAAATTTCATAATTGAATTTACCGTTCGCTTCATATACAAATCTAATCTATCGTCTAAGTCTATGTTCTTTTCTCTTCTAACGCATAGCACGTATTCCAATTGCGATAGATACACTTGAGTGATTGATCTAAAAAGATATGATTATCATAAAACATGCCTCCTCACTTTCTTGTTTTGAGTAATGAAAACAATCAATATTTTTTATGCTTGTGTTAAAAAACACACTTCACTTTTTCCTTCATCTCAACTGTACCTATTGTTCATTCTCTTGGTCATTTTCAATTAACATCAATCTTCTTATTATTAACGAACACCCGAATTATTTTTGTTTTCGTCTACTACAACTACACAGTTGGTGTACTCTTTTTTGAGGAAGAGAAGGACAGATATGTAAATATGATCTCTCGCAGGGATCCATACACTTTGTATATATATGTGTTCATAATATTTATAAAAATCACTAATGTGTGCGATAGAAGAAGAGAAAGAACTGCTGTCCAAACATATTGTGTTGTATTTGACATTTTCGACAACGTGTTTTCTACTTATTATACCAAACTTTTTTAATTCATAGCACTTATTGTATGGTTCACAGAGAGAAGTTGATTAGAGACTAATCTATTTCTTATCAAGTTAACCCAGAGAGAGATAGTCGTACCAGTATAATTAATCTAATATTGCCGATAATCAATTTTAGCTATTTTACAAGATACTCTTTTCTCCAGTGTAAAATAATAAAGTAGATAATAAATATAATGATCTGATGACGTTCAGATGAAAACATGTGACAAAAACAAAAATCACATCTCGATATCATATGAATCAATTACGATTTATTTTTTCCAAAAATAAAAAGAATATAAATGATTGATTTTTTTTTTCTCTAATTTTTTTTGCTATTTTGATCGATGGAAAAAGACATTCTGTTTCCCTTTTTATATGTTGAGGGAGGATAACCTTAATATGATAATAATAAGTGATGACGAAGTGAAAACAGAATGAAAATTATATAATTGTTGAAGTAGTCACAAGATAGAATACTATATTCGAGACGAATATAGTAAATAGAACAACAGTGACGTCGACAAACAACAGATTTGCAAGAACAGAGACGATCAAAATCTGTATCATTTTTTCTTCTTCTGTATGCTAGAAGAAAAAACCTACGTAAAAAACATATCACTGTTTTATACAAAAGGTTAACTTATTAGGTGTTTTAGAGAAATTCTTTGGGGAATATTTCTAAACTAGTAGAGTAATGAAATCAAAACCAAATAAAACAGAAAACTTCGAGAATAAATGTCACAGAAATGATTCCATTTTAGATTCATAATCCCTTACATGAGACAACAGTTTAGAGTTGTTGTTTTTTTTATATAATTTTGAATAACTACGCCTATTGGAGATTTGAATTGAGAAATATTTGTCAGGATTTTCGGGTAAATCATACCTGAGGTTTACGAATTGTAGTGAGAAATCGATGTAATTCAAATGAACATAATGTATTGAAAGAAAATCTTAGCTCATTTTCCAAAGAAATGAAACAAATATCTCGCAATTTTCTTTGCGTTGTTCTAGTATTTTAACGGAAATTAATCAACCGGAACGGTAAAAAATTTGTCCTGTAATCCTTCTCATTAGATATTCTTGTATAATTTGTTAGTCACGACGGATTTTTAACACTGAATGTGTTGATAGAAACAACTTTATGATTGTTGGCACTTTAGTGACTTTTTGAACTATTTCTCTCTATAAGATTCACATAGAAAACTATTATTTATTCTCTTATCTTCATACGACCTTTCAACAACACAGACTTGCGAGAAAAAAGCAAGTATGTGTGATAATTAAATGAATCTACCCGTCTTTCTTTCATTTGCTCTTTCATGAGCAAAAATTTATATATAATTTTTTTGACAGTAAAGAACTATACTAAAAATAAGAAAATTTGCATACTCCTTTGTCTTTATTACTTCTTTGTCTATTTTCGTTTAGTATCTTGGTTTCTCTAGTGTTTTATACTCAGTTTTTCACTGGATTCACTGGTACAAGTAATACAAAATGATCATTTTAGTTATACTTTCTTTCTCTTATCTATCGATATCTTTTTTCGTTGGTATGATCTTCTTTTCTCTTTTCTTCTACAAGCCGTAAAATCGATGTATATTCGATGATAGATTTAGCAGAGTTTTATAATAATCGTATATTCACTGAAGAAATTTTAAAAAATTTTGCTTACCAAAAATGATAAAAAGTTTTCAAATCAAAATACTAAATTATGATGAAAATTAAAATGTTTTTGTTGTTGTTGTTTTTTCACGGTAGGTACATCTGTAATATCCTGTTTACTGCGTATAAGTATCGAATTATTAAAGGTCAAAAAGAACGATTTTCTGGTAACCTTTATGTAATATACTGTCATTTTTTATTCTTTACGTACGCACTACTGTACTCATATATTATGTAGTAAAAGTAAAGAAAAAGGAAAAATCAATGAACTTTAGACTATTTTGTCGTTGTTGTTTACTAATATAGACTACGCGTGTACTACTTGCATCATTTTCTGTTCTCTTTTTTTTTGTTATACATGGTGGATATAGTAGTCTATTACATCAGAATTATCATCATGATTCGCTATATAGACCCATTTTTTTTTCTATTCTTTTTTTCATTCATACTTCATTGCAACAAAGACTTGTTTCTTCTACGAAATATATAAACAGGTAACAAACAAAACACACCCATCACATTATGGACAAAGATCACGTTTTTCTGTTGTTTAAAAAGATAAATAGAGCTATCAGACGATTTTTTTTTTTTTAAAGTACATTATGTTTCAAATTTTAAGACCTCGATATTTGTATAGATAGATAAACTAGATGATAAAATATTTTTCTTCCTAGAGTTTTAGTACACTTTACAGATTTTTATTCTATAACATTTTAACATTACAAGGTGTAAAAGATTAAAATGTATAGAAATACTTTCGAATTAAAAAGTAGCGATAAATGACCATTGCAGATAAAAAATAAAATGTAGAGCGAACGTTATTCTCATCTTAATGTAGTCGTTTTTTTCTTTTTGTTCTCTGCTATTTGCCTATAAACGGCAATACTCAAAGCTAATCATCTATCTCATCTTGTTTTACATTCGACTTTAGATTAGATCAAGTTTCTTTTCTTTTTCCAAGTTTCACGGATAGATGGTTGACACTACTCTATTGATAATACGGATTTTTAAAATAAGTCTTTTTAGATCTCACTTTATGATTCTTTTCTGACTTATTTTTCTTTTTACAACATGTTGTAGTAAGAACCTGATAATTACAACACAACTATTGTGTATACTGTATATATACAACGTAAATATGTTAATAGAACAGAAAAAAGATTTTTTGGGTCAAGATATCTATGAAGAAAAAGATGTCAAGTGAAACTTCCTGGTCACGAAATATGACAAGATTTTGTTTTCTTAACATTTTGTTATTCATTTATTTCAGTTAGAATCAAATTTGTTGTTGTAAAAAATTTTTTATCCAATCTAATACTAACAAACTAAAGTGCTTTTCTTTTAGCTTATCGATTATTGTCTAAAAGAATTTTAGGAGTTTTTCTTTGGATTTTTGAATAATCATATATTTTCTCTTGTTAGAATTTTGTCTCTCTCTACTACTTTTCAAAATTGTTACATAATCATCCTTATTTAGAAGTAGTACTCTAATCTAGGATTTATATCATATCTGAAAAGTAATTTTATTTTTCTTTGTATCATTTTTTTTGCAAGGCATGTGTCAACTATACACAGTACAAAAGAGAAAGAATTCTCCTAAAAAACAGTTGTTTCTTGCCTTTTTTCTCTGTATGTTTCTACTTATATGTATATATATATATAAGTGCATATGACGAACGAACAGTAGCGTAAACACTATGTATATGACATCTTCCTACTGAGAAGAAGATTGAACGACTTCATTGTAAACTAAAAATAAAAATATCATTATTGAACTTAAATACATTTATTCTAGAATAAATGAAACCTAGTGAATCGGACGTAGATATTGAACAGCAAGTACAAACATTGCCGTTAAAAATAATGTCTCCATCACCGACTACGCAACAAGAAACATCACTACCATCGATTGAACTAAATGGACTTTTCAATGGACATTCAACAAATTATGATGAAGAAACAAAAATAGCGACAAAATTAAAAATAGACGATAATTCTGATATTGATAATAAAAATCGAAAAAATTCAGATTATGATGATGATAATAATAATGCGAGTACGTTATCGATCGATGCTTCAGACACAGCGACTATATCTCCGTCATCTTCTTCGACTACTACAGCGACGACATCAGCTACAAATGGTACAAATGATAATTTAGTTTTATTACAAGAAATATCATTTAATATTAGGATACAAGCGCCACAAGTAGATATATTTGATTTACCAGTAAGTGAAATGAATAGTATGCTCATATATCAACTCCTTTTCGAAAAAAGAAAAACGTATTTTAAAAAGCCAGAAACGAATATAGATATTTGAAACACATAAAACTCAATTTTCATTTCTATCTCTCGATAAAAAAATTAAATTTTGTTTTTTATACCGTAATCGTGTTTTAAAAAAATGTTTTACCGGTTTCTGTGTCAAAAGTGGATTCCGACATAATTCAAAGGGTTCTAGTTTGTAAGATTGTTTAAAATATGCTTTTTAAAGTATGAAGCATATTTCATCGAATTATATGAGTGTACGTACACGTTGAACAAACTTATCTGTAGAAAAGGCATATCAATATTTCATCTGATGTCGTAGGACTTTTAGGAGCCTCATGATCTTCATGTCGAGTCGCTCTTTCATGCAAACTCGTAACAAAAACGTTTGACTAACACTACCGATCGGTATTTTTATCGTTTTAATTTCAAAATAAAAAAGACTTATATTATCTTAGCTGAACAATTTTTTTCGATCGAAATTGATTGTCGGTGATAATAAAGATCTTTTCAAAATGTTCTGAAATACTAATTTTTAGATATTCGAATATCATCATCGATACAGAGATTGAAAGATGTTTCGAACCTATTCCTTTTTCACGCTCGTATTAATTACATGTCATAAACAGTATTAATTATCTCAAATTACAAATTTCTACATAAACTATCAGTTTTTTTTAAAACTCTTTATATTTTTTATTATTTTTAGGTGACATCAAGTGAACTTGTACAAGAAATTCATCAAGTGTTAATGGATAAAGAAGAAACGTGCCATCGAACATGTTTTTCTCTACAATTAGACAATGTTGTATTAGATAATTTTACAGAATTAAAAAATATTGAATATTTAAAAGAAGGAAGTTTATTGAAAGTAGTTGAAGGTAAGTCAAATTTCTTCTATTTGATCAGCATTTGAATACAAAAAGTATTATCCTTTCTCATACTAAACATTTTCTATGTTTTGATTTTGAAAAATTCATTTTTTTTCTCAGTCAAGATTGTTAAAAAAAAAATATGTACGTTATCCGTTCATAGCTCATATGGAAAATGTCTTTGTTTTTTTCAAGTGTAAAGAGATTTTGAACTAACACATACGAATATATTCATTTCTACTTTTAAGAGCGATATACTGTCCGTGAAGTTCGCATTCATGTTCGTCATATAAACGAGTTAATTCATGCTTGTGATCCTGTTGATTTGTATTATGGTACAAATGGTTATTCATTATCTGTCGTGAACGATATTACAAATGGAGATATTACATCGTCACCTTCATCAAATTCGAATGGTAAATGAAAATGAATTACTCTAATGTTTTATTTTTAAATTTTTTTTCTTCTTTATCATTGTAGAACGACGTTCTCAACGTCTAGATTCATCACAAAAATCAGATTTATTAAATTCATCTTCTTCATCTTTAAATGGAGTTGAATTTAATGTACCTGAATATTTATTACCAAATCAAAAAGATATTTTATTAACATCATTATTTACTACAAATACAAAAAATAGAGTAGGATAAATTGATTGATGTTTTAGATCTCGATCTTTCATAATTTTAATCATTTAATTTAGGCGTTACAGTGTCTCAAAGTATTATCGTATAGTGGATGGAATCCTCCAACAGGATCTCGAAAATTACAAGGTATGTTTGTATTTTGATGTTATTTACGCATTATCTCATTATTGTTATTTTTATTTTTTATTTTTATAGGTGATTTAATGTATTTACAAGTGACAACATGTGAAGAAAAAGCATTTCATATAACAGCTTGTACCAAAGGCTTTTTTGTTAGTCAAACAACTGATGAACGATTTATTCCAAAACCTGTACAACCAAAACAAATTTATCATTCTCTAGTTGATTTATTAAATAGTGTATGTGTATATACAACATCTAGATAGAAAATTTATACGATAATAACTCGATATTTTTTTCTTCTAGATTAGTCCAATTTTTAAAAAAAATTTTTCATTAATTCAACGTCGACGATGTACAAAACATCCGTTTGAACGAATTCAGATTCCATATCAAATTCATCCATGGTTATCACCACGTTTTGAACATACAGTAGATTATTTTCGAGCTGAAGATGGTGAGTTTATTGTCATGTAGGAGAAAATGAAAATACTAAGACATTTATAGTTATAAAGAATACTTTTTAAAATGAGCGATATTGACAGTTTATTTGTTTAGCTAATATCAATAAATTGGGTCATGAAGATCACATACCCGGTCAAGTTCGTGATTGGAACGAAGAATTACAAATAACAAAAGAATTACCAAAAAAAAACTTACCAGAACGTTTAGTTCGAGAACGAGCAATGTTTAAAGTAAATAAACATTGACTCTATTGACTATTAAAATATATCATTCAATTTATATCATTTCAGGTTCATTGTGATTTTATCTCAGCTGCTGTACGTGGATGTCAAGCGGTTGTAGATGGAAATATAATGGCAATAAATCCGGGAGAAGAATCAAAGTAAAAAAAGAAATTCTTAGATAATTATTTTATATTCATTTCTTTTTTTCTTCTTCTGTTGTTCTTATCTAGAGTTCACATGTTTATATGGAACAATATGTTCTTTAGTCTTGGTTTTGATGTTAAAGATCATTATAAAGATTTTGGTGGTGATGCAGCTGCGCATGTGGCACCAGTAAGTCAATTGTAGACTCTGTTGTATCATACATCTCTTTCTCTCTCTCTTTCACTAGACAAATGATTTACAAGGTGTTCGAGCAATAAAATCGTTGGATATTGATGGTTTACATACACTAGGAACGGTTGTCGTCGATTATAAAGGTTTAAGAGTTACAGCACAATCCATTGTACCAGGTATGTAGCGAATAGAAAAGTAGATGTGTGATGGATCAATGAAATTGTAAAACTATTGATATCATAGTTCTATACTCAATCGTTGTGTGTGCGTGTGTGTGTGTACGAAAAAGAGAAATGTAGGCAGATTATGTTTATACATAAAGATACAAAACAGTCCGTGTATATCGTCCATATTTTCAGAAGGAAAAATATTGATGGAAGAAACGAAGAAAAAAAAAAGAAAAAAGTCATCTATAAAATATCCTTCTCTATTCTATTATGTGAAAAAAGAATTTTCTTTTTCGTCTATCGTCTGTACTGGACAGTTTTATTTTTGTTGTTGTTATCGTCTGTTTCTACTTCTTTAATCAGCTGGATAATGTTGTTATTAAGACGTTATTTAAAAGTTCTAATTTTTCTATTCTTATTTTTATGGATATTAATTTTAATTTTCATCTATTTTCCCATATCAAAATCTCAATTTTCTAATGAACATCGAATCTATTTATCAATTTTAAATGAATTACCAAAAATTGAATATTTATTACGTTCAAAACAATCAAATTTAACATTAATACAAAAACAATTAATTAAAATTGAAAAATATTTAAATAAATATACTTTACAATTAAATCGATTATTAAAAACAATTGATTCTACAAAATTGAATCAAAAACAAAATGATATATATTTTCCTGAAATAAAACATTTTTTAATAAAACAAGATACAAAAATATTTTTAGTCTATTTTGAATCAATATTAGATTTAATGAACAATACAAATGATATATTAGATTTAAAAATACTTAGTCAATTTTATTTAAAATTAAAAAATGATATACCCTATATAACATCTATGAAAGAACATGCCTATTTAAATTTAGTTTATTTACCAATTAAAATAAAATATTATTCAATAGAATTATGTGAAAAATTATTAAAAATTTCATTTTCAAATAAAAAATATTTATTTTTCTATGAATTTATTTTTGATAATAATATAATAAATGAAAATATAAATTATTCATGTTTTAATGATTATTCAAATATATTTTTTCCTATTCGATTATTTTCTAATGATAAAAATGAGAATAATGATGATACAATGAATTTATATTTTACTGATGAACGATCACATACAACGGCAATTATTTATTTACGACAACAACAAACATGTAAGTTAAACATATTTCAATTATTTTATTTAATCATAGAATAAACAATGATTATAAATAACTGAGAAACAAAAAAATCATCTGTTTCATTTTGACAGTAAAAGTTGCAACTATTTCAAACTTTTATACCATCTAAAAGATTACATGAAAAGGAGCCCTATCAAAATCGGAACCATAATTAGATATGAAACAGTTATTTTTAACTGTTTTTTAATGCATTCAGAAAAATTGTTATAACATGGTTATGAAAACACGGGTCTCATTTTGTACACAAATGTTTGGTTTAGCTTAGGCATGCACCGATTTCGAATAATCGATGTTCAATTATTATTTCGATTATTCGATTTTTAATCGAAATTGGTGCATACCTAGTTTATCTATTTACATCGAACAAAAAAAGTAGTTAGAGGATGAAAGAGAGACTTTTTTTCACGAATTGCTGAAGAGACACGATCAGTTATAGAAGTAATGACCAATTATCGCGTACAGTTATGAGTCCTTGTATTTGTGTCATAATTTAGTTTAAACGTTTTTTCTTTCAGTGAGGACATAGAGCAAACATTTCTCTACAAAATGAGGCGTATCACAGCTCGGAACGATTGTTAATAACAATAATATGACAACAATTTTCCTAGATGATTTAATAACAATCATATATCGGATGCATGTCTGAACAACGATGTCAAAAAATGATCTTTGACTAAGTTTAAACTGCCCATAATAAAAAACAACAACAATAGTTTTTTGTTTGTTTTTATGACACCACAATCAGAGTAAGGAAAAATATATTCTGAATGTGTAGTCTCTGGGAAGCACTTCAAACTTATGGTTCTAAACTGTTTTTTTGACATAATGGTTAGAGTCCAGCGGACAAACTTTTTTGTTACCACGAGCTCGAACACAAAAATTTTTGTCCCGTCCCGTAAGTCCGTACCCATGAGCAAATAATGTTGTCTCAAACCCATCTGTCCCATAGAAAAAAAATGACGGGCTTTTTATCCTGTAATTTTTTAAAAGTGTTTCTTGTTAAGGTAAACTGTAACTATTAAAGAGAAACTGAACGTCTTAAACTTATTTTTGCAAAATCCACATGACAAAATTTATCTAATTAAATTTTTTTCAAAATTTTCTGTTTAAAAAAATATTTCGCATCCATTCACTAGCTCAGAATCGAACAGAAAGAACTGTAAACCGAGTTTTAGATATGAAATATCGTCTTAAGTATAAATCCAAACTATTTCACCACTTCAGTTTCGTTTTTATTAGTTATTATAAAATTATGCTTGAATTTGATGTATTAAAAGAATTAAACATTTGAAACTGCAGCATAATTACGATCAAAAGATAAAACGTACGAGACAACATTTTCCTGTAACTTGTCCAGATTCCGTGAGCGCACACATATAAAAAGTTTGTTTTTGTCTTTAGCCAGTGTAGACGGGCTCAAGACAAAAACAAACTTTTAAACTAACCTCTGGCTCACAATGCAGTTTGTGAGCAGCCGTTAATTGTTCGACCAAGGCCACACTTACTGATTGTTATTTTTAGGAATGTCTCTGGGCTCCCGTTGTGCGCGAAACGGTTTAACAGAGCAGCGCAGAAGATCGAGGGAGCTCTAAACCTCCAAAGAGAGTCCGATAACATTACCGGATAGGAGCTGAGGTCTTTAGGAGGTATAGGTCTTCAGTGCTTTGTCAACCAGGCTTTGTAACCGTGCGTAGATTCTTTTCTGGTCTGAAGATTTATGCCTCTGCGGTCTACTGTACTCTTTTTTTAGTGTATTGGAGTGTTTTAAAACCAAATGTCCACGTGCCTATCAAAAATTGCCCACTGTACGTCTGTTCCGTGGAACGAGACGGGATTCGGGGCTGCCTCGCAAAACTCTAATAATAGTTCGAAAGTTTGATAGATTTCCTTATTTCATAAAGTCATATATAAATACGAGTACATTATTTTGAATTTATATTTCATCAATTTTACTTTGTTACTTTAAATTGTCTTCATTTTTATTGTTTTAGTGTTTGATAATGATAATAATTTTAATTATTTTGAACAAGAAAAACAAAAACTTGATTATCGTTTAAAAATAATTGATACCTGTTTTGACTATAAATGTCAAAAATTATTATTAAACAAAGCATTTAAATTAAAAATGTTTTATTTTATTATTCTATGTTCTCAAATCTATAATCAACTATTACAATTTCAATTTTTAGACATTTTCTTTTACTTAGTATCACATCGAATTATTCCAATTTTATCATCATCTTGTTATGATTATTTACCTTATAAAACTGTTATTCATTGGCATAAACATCTTCAATCATCATCATTAAATATACTTTACAATTCATATTTTAATACATTTGATAAACGTTTATTAACATTTTTATCGTATATTAGAACGGAAAAATTATTACCACCATTATCATATCCCTATGTTGATGATAAATCATTATATGTAGTAGAATATTCTCGACAATTAAATTTTTCTACAATGCCCAGTTATTCACAATTAGATTTGATTAATTTTAATTATAACTATCAATCAGTGTCTACATTAAGTGTTTATGATCAATGGAACAGATATTATCAACCATTTTACAGGTATATTAAGACGATCTATAAAAAATATTTACTAATGTGCACACAAAAATTCCTCCAGGAATGAAAAAAAGAAACGAAAAGTTATTGTTTTCAGTATGAATTTAAGCATTTTAAACTAAATATTATCTCTTTTGTGTCATTTCTGTTGTCACCTGTAGAGGAAAAACAGAATTTGTTCAGATTTTTATTTTTATTTTTTTTGTTTTGTTTTTACAAATATCTTTTTTTCTAGTTTTAAATCTGTTCCATTTGATGAAACAATTCGTTCTCATGAACAATATACAATTATTCTCTTAACAACTAAACAACGTTTCTATCAATTAATTCGATCATTATTAAGTTTAAATGGATTACCAAATTTAAATCGTGTTATTGTCTTATTTAATAATATTGATAATAGTTCAATATTTAATCAAACTTTATTAATAAATGAAACAGAAATATATTTAAAATATTATCTTGATGATTATTGGCAATATTTACCAAAATTACATGTACCAATTAGTTATATATTTAATTTAAAAAATAATTTAAATAATCGATTTTTAACATTTCAAAAATATATTCAAACAGATTGTATTTTATCATTAGATGATGATAGTTTTTTAAGGTATGAATTCAAATAATATCTAATATCTAAATACAAATGGAAAAGGTTTAATTAAAATATAAAAAGTATAGAAGATGAGTCAAAGTAAAAAAATTTTGATTGTATAATTATAAATATGAATTTCTTTCCATTTGTGTTTTGTTTGTTTGTTTGTTTTGTTAAAAATTTAACATATTTTTCATATTCTTTCTCAGACAAGATGAAATTGAATATGGTTTTCGAGTATGGTTAGAAAATCGTGATCGTTTAATTGGTTTTATATCTCGTTCTCATTCCAAACAGTATATCAATTCTTCTTCAACATTATATTCTTATAAATATGAAACAAATTTAAAATCTTGTACATATTCAATGATTTTAACTGGTGCTTCTTATTATCATCGTTGGTATTTAGAATTTTATTCATTATATATGTCTTCATCTATTCGTTCATACATTACTCAAAATATGAATTGTGAAGATTTGGCAATGAATTATTTAATAACATATTTAAGTCAAAAATCACCATTAAAAATAACGGGAAGAACATCATTTAAATGTTCAAAATGTCAAGAAAGTTTATCATTAAGAGAACATCATTATGATATAAGATCAAAATGTTTAGATTATTTTACACATATTTATGGTTATAATCCATTAAAATATTCAATTTATAGAGCTGATAGTTTACTTTTCGGTGTACAACAATCACAACAACAACAACAACAGACAAATTGTATTCATCATTTCTAGAAAAATTAGTTTGTGTTCGAATATAAAATTGGTTCAAGATTGTATTTACAAAAGAAAAAAAAAACGTTTAATTAATAATAATTTTTCTTATTATCAAATTCAATTATTCTTTGACTTCTTCACTGTTTACTTTGTTTAAAACATCTATCGAATCTAATTTTGATCATACATAAAATAAGATTAACTTTGTAATTTTTTTACTTTTTTGATTATTTTTCTTTATGTTAAAAATAATATAAAAATTGAACATGTTTTTTTTAAAGGTATACTTGAAAAAGAACAAGAACAAAGTGTTGTTTATGGTTCAACTGATTTTGGAAAAACTTGTACAACAAGTGAAAAATATCGAGAATTGGTATGTAAAATTAATTAAATAAAAAGAAAAATAATATTAATAATTTGTTTATTCTATTTTTTTAGTTAGAAAAAGTAGCATCATTACTTAAAATAAAACCACATTCAATCAAAACTGAAAAAGGAGAATCTATTGAATTATATACAGCTGTTGAATGTAAAGGAATTATTGGAAATGATGGAAGACATTATCTACTCGATTTATTACGAATGATGCCACCCGATCTCAACTATTTGATAGGTATGCACGTGACTTGAAAAAAACGGGTTTGTTTTTAGTCACATTTCAAATGAAAGAGAGAAAGAGAGAGAGATAATGATTATTTTCTACATTGTAGTTGAAAATGAACAAGTGTCGTCTGCTCTGCAACAATTGGGTTATCCAAAATCATTTTCACATCGTCTATGTTGTTTACGTCAAGAATTAATTGATGCATTTATAGAGTACGCAATAGACACACTATTTTAACTCGAACATGTTTTCATATTTTTTCTTATATTTCTTTCTAGACAAAAATATGTCGACTTTTATCGTTCAATTGCGTTGAATTTATCAAAACTAAGAACAAGTGAGGTAAATGATTAAAAATAGAATTGATTTTTTTTTTTGAAAGAGTGGAAGATATTTGTTTGCTTCTTGCCCAATCAGCTTATATTCTAAGAAGAAGAAAAAAAAAATACTAATAGATCATCTTTTCTTTTTTTCTTCTTATCGTATTTATTGTATATCAGTTTGTACAAGCGGAAACATTTTGATTTTATTCAAAATCATTTTTATTATAGCTTCTAACAAATGACACATCATCGGAACAACGAAATAATGTTGAAGAAGCAAAACGAATTGTGAATGAAATTAGTGGTATGAAATACTTTTTTAATGAATTTATTTAAATGCAATTCTAAATCGAAATATTCATCCCAAACATGATACTATACCGAAAATACAAAAAATATATTGAAAAATTTAAATTTCATATGCATAAATACCTAATAAATGTCACAATCTCATTAAAAAACTCAAAATAGTTTAAGCCTACATAGTCCGTTGAAGTTCCTGTATTAACGAAAACGAAATAGAACAGTGAAATTATACGTGGATCTGTAGAAGATTGATTAAAAACTATCTAGACTCTTATTTTTAAACTCAGAAAGGTAAAAACTTTTTATATCCTTCTCAACGATTTATTTAAAATGTTAGCTCCTTGCTTCGGTGGCCCATAATTTTAATTTTCAGATTTAATAATGTAAAAATCAAATAATCGAGTTTTTTAAAATGATTTGATTTCAAAATGCAACATAAAAATAGATTGTCGAAAACTTTCGATTCACAAATGTGTAATAAGAAATTTTTTTTTTAAAAATCAATAGTTAAAAAAAAAGCATGTATTTCTTGAAATTTTGTTTTGCGAAATTTGAGACAAGTATCGTTTCAGAATCTTGAGAAATAAATCTCAGCCAAATTGATTCAATAGATCTGAAGATCGTTGTTTTTTCCTACAATATGTCGATTTAAGTTTGAACTTCTATTGTTCTAGTCGAAGATAATAGTCGTGAAATAATTCTATCAGCTTGTCGCTCAATTGGTTCAGTTAAAGAAAATGAATTTGATGTTCGATTTAATCCAGATTTATTCCAACCACATGTCATATTAAATCAAACAGTATGTATATATATATAATAAATTTAAAAGTTAAAAAACATTTCATTGTTGTTACTATTTTTATTAGCCTGCTGAAACAACAGCTGATATTAAATTATTGAAAGAAGCTGGTGAATATCTTTTATTGAAACAAATTCCAATGATGATTCAAGATTTTCGAGATCATTCAACTGTGCCAGTCGATGGTGAAAGTTTGTCAGAAGCAATGCATTCAAGGTAATTACATTTAAAATTATTTTCTTATATGCATATTATCTTTTTGTTTCTTTTAGAGGTATCAATATTCGATATCTTGGACGTGTAGCAGATTTACTTAGTCAACAATCATCATTAGAATATGTCTATGTGAGTCATTCGTCTATTTTATATATACTGAATTCACATGTTTACGATTTATGTTCTATTTAGGAAATTGTTGTTACTGAAATACTATGTCGTTGTACAAAACACATCTTTCGTTCTTACATTCAAACAGTACCTGCTCATTTAACAGCCTATTCAATTAGTCATTTTCTCAACTGTCTCCTTACTACAACTACAACTGCTATAGTAGAAAATCTAAGCGATGATCTATCAACAAATACGCATACAAATGGAACAACAAATGGAAACGGCAACGGGCACACATCAGCAACATCAACACAAAAGTCCACAAATAAAAAGAAAAATAAAAAGCAACAACGAAAACATAGTCCAATTACATCCCAAACTGGTATATGAATACAAGTTTACAATTTCTTCACATAATTCAAAACTTTTGTCTCAATTTAGATTCATTAGATTTTTCATCATTAACATCGAAAACTCTGTGGATACAATTGTCAAATGAAGCTAAAACAAGATATAGTTTTGATTTAAACTGGTATGTTTAATTATGTTCTATTTGTTGTACAAATTTAAATTTTTAAAAGAGTATGAATTATTAATGTTGATTTTTATTTTAGTGATGACATTGATAGTTTTCAAGAGCATTATCACGTTCGTCGTACATGTATACTACGTTCGTTTTGTCTTAAAACTGGACTACAATTATCATTAAGAGATTATCAATTTGATTCGATGACGTCAACAACACCAACAACAACAAAAAATATTTTATCAAATTCACCTACAATCCCGTGTTTCAACGAAGATGATATTATTAATTTATATCCAGTTACTAAACATGTTGCACCAAAAGTAAGTTCTTTATGCAAATAGGAATGAAGCTTCTGTGTTCAGGTCTATCAATCTTTGTATAAAACGTTTGATTGTTATATAAAATGCATTTTGTATAAAACGTTAAATTCACCATGTTTTGTCTTTCAGCCGAGTGACGCTTATCAATTTTTTACCACTGGTCAATCAAAAATTCAACAGGGTTTATTACGTGAAGGTTATGAATTAATATCGGAAGCGCATAATCTTTTGAATAATGTCTATGGTCCAATGCATTCAGAAATTAGTATGTGTCTAAGATTATTGGCACGATTAAACTATATAATGGGTGATTATCAAGATGCACTTAGTACCCAACATAAAGCTGTTATGATGTCTGAGAGAGTACTTGGTATTGATCATCCACAAACAGCCACAGAATATGTGAGTATGATTTTATAGTATTTATACCGTTTTTAATCTAATGCATTCATTTCTTGACGAGGAGTTTTGTTAGATGAACCATAGAGTTACTAATTTTACCATCTGTATCTTGTCTGAAATTTTGTATATTTTAGATTCATATGGCATTGTATTCATTTGCTAATGGACATTCAACCAATGCTTCAAAATTATTATGTCGAGCAAGATATATTATTTTAGCTTGTTGCGGAGAAAATCATCCACAAATTAGTTTGATTGATGTAAGCATATTTAACAGAGATGAGGAGACAACTAATCATCTATTCTCTTTATTTTTAAGAGTAATCTTGGCTTGATACTGCAATCACACGGAGATTATGATAATGCATTGAAATTTATGGAGAAATCATTAGAATTAAATAGGAAGTATGTTGAAGCGATTGCTGAATTATCATTTGGCATCATATATTTTTGCTTAGAGTTGCTTAGAATTTCTTAGCACCCGATTGTTTTACACCATTATATTTAAACTCGGAAGATGATAAAGATCTGTTAGACACGCGGCTATTTCAATACTATACTTAGACACGCGCATATTTCAATACTATACTTAGACACATAATTAGGCTTCAACTTGTGTAAATTATTTGACTTCTCTTATTTTAAGATTTTATGGTGGTAAAAGTTTAAAAGTAGCTTTATCTCATCATTTATGCGCGCGAATTCAATCGTGTCGTGGCGATTTTCGTTCAGCGTTAAATAGCGAACGTGAAGCATATCAAATTTATAAATTACAGGTAAAATATTTTTCGTTTAAATCATGCATAATGTTGACTTTTTTTCTATTTCTTTTCATTTAGCTTGGCGATGATCATGAACGCACACGTGAAAGTGCTCAAGTATTAAAACATTTAACCGAACAAGCTGTAGTATTACAAAGACGAATGAACGATGTTGTTAAAGGACAATTGATTTTGTTTCCAAGTATAACGGTAAGAAAACACTACTAAACTTATTTATCTATTTTCTAAAATCTTTTTTTGTCTATGTAGATACAACAACCAAGTTTTCAAAATGTACTTGAAATGTTAAATGTTGTGAATGGCATATTGTTCATTCAAATCAGGTAAATAAACATTTTCTATAAACAATCTTAATAAGTAAAGATAAAATTGTTCAAACTAGAGAATTCAAAGAGAGAAAACGAAACATATTTTACTCTTCTAGATTTGTATTTATTTTTTTTATTTTAGAGAAAAAGATTTGGATTTATTGCGTGAAGAATTATCTAAACAATCATTAGTGGAAGAACATCAACAACAAGAAGTGCAACATTTATCTTCACCAGCCATTTTGGCAGCGAACAAAGCGGCAGCACTAATGAATGAAATTGATTGAACTATCTAGGAAGATTTTTACAACGAAATGAATTTTTTATTTTTGTTTGTCCATTTTTTTCCATTTGTGTGTTCTAGTTTTAGGAAAATTTCCTTCGTCTTTCCTATTTGTGACTTATATCTTTGGCTAATGTTCTTCTTTCATTTTTCAGTGCTCTATTTTGAAAGCTTAGAATATATGATCTAGTCTATGTTTTATCTCAAAAAAAAATTGTTTTTTTCTCTGTTTTTGGTCTATACCCTTCCAAAGACTGTTCATTTTTAGAAATAGTCTTCTCTTTTTTCCCAGTGTATGTTCTGGATTTGTTTCTTTTATTCTTGTTCTTTTCTAGTTCTTTATTATATGCACTTCATAAACACCTTTAACCTTCACATATTGTTTGTTTTCTTTTTGTTTAGGTAATATTAAACACATCGATCATGTATCCCAGTTGTTTTTCTACTCTTGCCATGTGTTATTTGACTGTTTCATTTTGTTTTCTTGCTTGTTTTTGAACATTTTTATTAGATCTTTGATTGTTTTTGTTTTTTTGTCAATGTGTGTGTGTGTGTGTGTGTGTGTGTGTGTGTGTGTTTTCTATTTTTCTGAAATAAACTCCGAAAGATACACACTCTTCAAAGTATATCTGTCGATTGATCAGTAATATATTCTGAAAATCGCTACTCTTTTTAAAGTATTTTGCAGTAATCGTAAAAGACGAAGTATTCTATTCTTGCTTACTTACTGACATAGTTCAAATCTAGATTGTATTTCAAGAGAAAAGATGACTGTTACCGATTATCGAATTTAGCAGGTTAGTTGCTTTAACTTTATCTACTCCACCATCCAGGCATGGTACTGTAAGCTTTTTCACTCGTGCGTGATCATTCAAACAATTAGTGCCACTAGTGATGGAAATCACTAGTAGATATTTTTTTTAACAGAGTGTGCCTAATGTCAAGCGAAGGCTGCTAAGATAAAAAAGAAATTTTTGTTCGTATCTTTGATGATCAGTTGTACCTTAATTACACGAATCTCAAAATTTTGTCACTGCTTCAATCGAGTTTTACTATGTTGACTTATCATTTGCAGCTTTATTCATTTTTTATTATTTTATTTAGTTAAACTTGAACTTTTACACGATTCTACATACGCTAACGAGGGAAGATCCCTAGCTGATACCCTCCGATTTCGATGATCTTTTGCCGATAGATACTAGATGATGTCCTAGTCTTAACCTCCAAAAGATTTGGTTGTATAGCTCTTTTTTCAAAAGTTATGGATTTTTTAATATCGCCTGTACAAGGCTACCATCGGTTCTTAGAAAATTCATATCTCAGTAAGGAAAGGTAGTAGACAGCTGAAAGCTTTAGAAAAAATTTCAGCCTTCTAGCTCTTTTCACTTCCGAGTTACAGGATTTTCCATTCTTTTCTATGTTTTATTTTACATATTTTCTGTGTTGACCAATGTTTACGTTCCTTAATTATAGTCACACTCAGGGTTCTCAGATGTCCCCCATTGAGGTAAACAATCCCCCATTCGACCATTTTGTCCCCCAGTAAATACATCTCCCATACGGGACATATTTCGTCCCCTACTGGCAATTATTTGAAGTCCTACTACTTCAGCATCATATGTGATGAAAAGATTGGCGGGTTATTACATAATATGCAAAGATTTATGCCCTCTTTAGTATATCTGGTCATAAAGATCATTATCATATAGGTGTTTGGATAGTTTATACCAAATAGAGTTATTCTGAGATTCGTGAGCCGTCCCCAAAAACATCACTCTTCCTGTCGTGCGCTTCCCAGGATTGATCAGACGTGTGATATGACTTTGTCGATAAAACCTAATTGAAAGGAAAAATCTATTGTTTGAAATTTGAAAAATTAGCTTTGAAAGAATGAACTCTAAATTAGAACTATAAGAAGAAACGACAGTGTAACGATAAATGGTTAAAAAATTCACAATATTGATCTTAATTTATTTGTAATATGTGACTTTAGTTCAGCTCATTGGGTATTTTAGATTAACATGACATTATTTCGTTAAAATAAGCATCCGTCATTTTGTCTCCCATTCGAAAAAAATAGTTTACGATCCTTGGTCACACTCTCATACACGTTGCCCTATATTGGGAAATAACAGTCTTTCTTTATCACGTTTTTTTTCACGTGTTATAGAAATATGGAAGAGAGAGAAAGAAAGACAAAGAAAGGTCTTCGCGTAAGTTTTCTCTTTAGAGTAGGCTGGGGTAATTATAACCATCACAGCAAAACCGGTGGGACGATGTAAATCAACTTTGTTCCCAAGCTGAACTTTTACCTTTTCAATTAAAAATTAGTCCACCTTATAGAGAATTTTGAACTTTATCCAACCTCATGGATCTCCAGTCAATCAGCTTTACCCTTAACTACTTAATGAGAAATTAGTGAAATCAAAAGACAAATCATTTTTTTCGATATACACGAACTGGGGGAATTATAACCACACTGCTATTTTTTATAGGGTAGTTTATAACCAGTTAAGAGTAACGCACTGGAAATTGAATGGTACTATTAACAATCCGAGTCCTTCAAAAAAATCTCCAGTTCAAGTTCGAATCCACCAAAAAATCTTCCAATCCGGAGTCGCCCATCCCTACCAGTCAGTTCTGAATGTTATGAAACGATCTTTTACACTCCTTCTTTGCAAAAATATAATACATTATTTTGTTGAGTAGCACTGATTTCCAAAAAGACTGATCTGACATAATCAAATTGCCAATTTGATTTAGAATTAAACAACAGTCATAGACAAGTGACATCGGAGGTCTCTGCGTAAATTTTATCGAAACGACTATCCATTTCAAAACATAGTTCCTGTAGATCGATAGCCCAGAGTGTCCTCTTCAAAATGGGAGTCAAGGAGACCTTGGTTTAGAGTCCAACTAGAAGAACTAGTATCCGATGCCTACTGATAACTTCGAAAGTGAGTGGATCATAGGTAATCAATCACGCTGATCCTTGTGGCAATATTTGTTTTTAGAAAAGATTTTAAAAGCCACGTTTTTCAAAAATTAGAGTTTTGGGTTGTTTTCATCGAATATTAAAATATTACCACGTGGCAAACCATGAATTCACTAAATTCTTTTCTGAATCCTGTAAATAGAATATAAAATAATCTAGACACTGTGCATCCTTAACTTTTGAACTCGTTCTTGAATGAATAGTGAATTTTCTAATAATTCGGTGAAAACAACCGAAAAACTCCAATTTTCGAAAAACATGGTTTTTGCTGGTTTTTAAAATATCACCATGAGAGTGATTGATTACTTATGATCCAGTCGTTTCCGAAGTTATCAATAAGTACCGAATGCGAGCTTTTGGACTCCAAATCAAGATCTCCCTGGCTCCCATTTTGAAGAGGACACTCTGGGCTATCAATACATGGAGAAAAAATGAATGTGATCCTATCGAGACTTGATTTTTGAGACACAGTTAGATTTTCCAAAAATCGAAAAAAAACGATAAGCCTTTTTACCCATGTAAACATGCCACCAAGTCTCGTCTTTCGAATGGTAAAAACCGCTACGCGGTATTTCTAGTCATTCAAAACTTATTCAAACATTCACCGCCACTATATTTTAAAATGGATAGTAGAAGATGATCAATCCGATGCATTACTATAAGTGACAAATTTTTCAACCCGTACATTTTATAGAATAGTGTTTTCTCTTCTAAATGAAGGATTCAAGAGCGCTAATCAACTTTTGTGATCGTTGTATATACCACGGAACTAGTTTTATCCGTAAGCATGTAAAAATTTGTCCTTTCAAGCTCATATCTTCGTAACCATAAATCAGCAAAAGTTGACAGACATTTCATTTTAAAATTCTTTTTCGTTTTTCTCGCCAAAATTACCGTATAGATCTCTATTAGTGAAAAGCATTTACATTTGTGTATTTTATAAATACTTTTAATAGACTAATAGTTTAAAATATATTCTACACGAATTTTTGTATCTACTGAGATTATCGACGAATTCTTTCTTTTCGTTTATTATTTTGTCCGTTTTGTGATAAGTCAGTAGTATTTTGTTTTTTTGTATTTATCAAGTTATTTATTGCTTCTTTCGTCGCATAACTATATGAATAAAATATAATAAAGGAGCTTATTGTGTTTGTTTCTTTCCTGTCATGGCATACATCTGTCCCCAATATAGAAGATAAGTCTCTTTACACTTTTTATTCAGTCTTGAATAACAAACTAACAGTTCGAGAAAAAATACCCAACAAAAAAAAAAAAGAAAATCAAATACAATTTATATCTCTTTATTTACAAATAGAGCGCTAAAATTCGACGAATAATAAGTAGAAATAAAAATAAGACTTGGTGTAAGTGCAATAACATATTATTTTCTTCTTCGACGTTGAGTTCTATTACTGGAAGTTGATGATGCACCAGTCGAATTGTCTGATGGACTTGTCACCACAACTTGACTAGTTTCTAATTCATCCTTTGATAAATCCGACATTTCTTTTAGTTTTTGTTGACCATCAATATAAAACATAACGTCGCGTAATTGTTCTTTTAATTCATCCATTTCCTATACAAAAAAAAGCATCGAATTACTTGATAAACTTCAAAATTTTTACTTTTATCTCATACATACCTTATCTTTCTGTTTAATATGTACATCAAATTGTTCCTTCATTTTTTGAATTTCTTGTTGAAAATATGTTTGATTTAATCTCAATTGTTCATTCATTAATTTTTCTTCATCTAGATCTTTTTGTACTTTGAACAATTTTTGTTGAGATTTTTTTTCAAGCGCTTGTTTCTCTTTCAAACACGTATCGAATGATAGCTGTAATTGTTGATTATGATCATGTAATTGTTTATTAGTTTGTTCTAATTTTTCAATTTTCTCATGTGTATCATCTTCAACGAAACGAACTTTTTCTTCAAAAAATCGACGTTGAGATTCTAATTGACTTGTTAACAAATAAGTATACTATAAAGTTAAAAAGAAAATAATATTCGATTTAACAATAAAACTATGAATATTTAATTTACTTCAAGTTCCATCGAATCAATTTTTTCTTGTGAGTAATCACTTTTAGACGATTGATTGTGTCCCTTAAATATAGCGAAAAATAAAGATACTCATTCAGACTAACGTAGTTTCATATTATACCATTGTTAAATTTTCTCCTTCCGTTCGAACTTCAACAAGTTTTCCATCATCTTTATTTTGTATCAGTCTGTGTACGTAATTATCACCCACATAATCCCAAACATGCTGGCGTTTTAAATCCATTGTGTATGTATGTTGAGTTAATTCGAAATGTCTATGTAAGAACAAGAGAAACACGTATAATTTCTACCATGTCCTCTGATATGTATATACGTACCCAAATGCATGACCTTGCTTAAATCGACTACAACCAACATGGCCACATATTAAACATATCCATAAATCCTAAGAAGAGAAAAAACTGAAAGCATTAAATATGAATTCGAAATTATTGTTTTATTTAGAGGAGACACACTTTGGGAAACATCGAAATTGTTCCCTCTAAATTGCTTTCACACGCTTAATCATGAAACAAAAGTTCGAAGACAATAAATGATTCAGTTCACTTACTTCTTGTGATCCACATTCAAAACAAGATTGTCTATCAGTTACTTCAGGTGTTTGTACATAACGACACACAGGACAACTAAATGCGACAAAAGAAAACGGATGAGATAAAGTTTAACTATACAATCAAAATCAGGGGTTACCACTCTTTTCGCTTTTCGACCTCTTCCATACTGTTGAGTTATTTTAACTAATTTAGCTCAATCGGTTAAAATTGTAGTTATACTACTTATTGTTTCTAGGTGAAAATTCTGATCGTAATACTTACCAACTATCTCCCCACTTGATGAGACAATCACCGTGAAATGAATGGTTACACAGAATTGTCAACACACCCGACAAACTTTCGTCCTAAAGAGATAAAAAAGTTTTGAGTGTAGAGAATAAGTAATTGGTGTGAGATTAAGAGTTACTGCAAATGATTTATGAGGAAAAGACAATGCTTCACGAACGTAAATAGAAAGGCTTCATGAGGCATTATTGTGAAATTTCTTTCATCTTCAGTTGTATAACAATTAATTTTATAAGGATTTTGGAAAAACCAAATTAGTATTCCGGAAGTTGCTATACAAATATTTTCATTTTCTGTCATAGATAGATAATTCAAAGTGTCCTATTCAAAATGAGAACTAAGCAACCTCTTAATTTTTCGTGATTTAGGTGCAGTATCGGGTTTCCTGTGAGTTCCAGGATTGGTATTCCATTGTATGTGGTAATCTGGAAAATGAATGGAAACATATGTTATGGACTATGCTGAACCACGCGGTAATGTCTGTTTTTTTCGAAGAAAATTCGAAAACGCTGTAATTATCTACATTAGTAACTCAGTTTTGGCTATTTTCACCAAAAATGAAAGAATTCATAATTCACTTAGAAACGATCCACATTCCTTCAAGACATCAAAATAAATTCTATTATCAGCCCAACATCTTACAATTCAAAGAATGCTTTCACATTTTTAGAATTATTATTATACAGAATCAGAGTGCGCAAATAAAATTGAGTTTATTTTGATGTCTTGAAGGAATGTGGATCGTTTCCACAAGTGAATTATGAATTCTTTCATTTTTGGTGAAAATAGCCAAAACTGAGTTACTAATGTAGATAATTACAGCGTTTTCGAATTTTCTTCGAAAAAAACAGACATTACCGCGTGGTTCAGCATAGTCCATAACATATGTTTCCATTCATTTTCCAGATTACCACATACAATGGAATACCAATCCTGGAACTCACAGGAAACCCGAAACGAATGATAATTCTCAATACTATTATAAACAACCAACAAACTTCATATTTACCATTCTTTCGAGACATATATAACAAGGTGGTAGTTCAGTAAGTCCAGGTATTGGACAGGAACCTTCCTAAATATAGAAAAAGAGAATCAAACACACATTTTAAGATAAAAAAGGACTGTATAACCTACTTTAGCTGTACTCGTTATATCCACTTTAGCTACATACGCTAAATGACAAACACCCTTCTCAATGGAATTAAACTGACGATTATTGTAATAATCATAAAACTCATCAGCCTCTCGCTAGAATAAATAATAAGTAAAATATATTCTGTTAACATAGAAACTATTTTTACTTGTGATTTAAGTTTGATTAGGCACATATATTGATTTGGTGTTGGATCTCGAATAATTCGCAGATATTCAATACTGGCACTAAACGTTTAGAAAGAAAAAGGCTGAGAGGAGTTAAACAGAAACTAGAAAAAAATACAATAAATATTCCTGCCTACTATACGGGATAAATAAATGAAATTAGTTCACGACATGGAACATCAGCTGGTATAGCTAACATACACAACATTTCGCTTCGTTTACACGTTATATCATCGGTGGCACACGATTTACTATAAGGAAATACAAAACAAATGCTGTTTACGAAATTTTTTTAACAAATAGTTCTATTCTTTCCGAGCGTTCTTAATGTTGTTATTTCATGCATGCAACAGGGTAATATGTATTAATCATACTTTTCTTTGTATAAATGCATAATTCCTTTTGTTATATCAACTAAATGATTTCCACAATAAAACGGAATCGTTTGAGCATTTAACTGTTGCTGTTCAGGTGCCGACGATAAATGGGTTTTGATATCAAAACCTTAAATATAAAGAAGTTTAAAACTCTTTTCATTTCTCACATCTTTGGTTCGCACGTGTCGAATCATTTGTTGTTGTTGACATTTTTCGATTTGCTTTTTGTTTAGCCTGTTCTTTTTTATCGTTGATGGGTCGTGTTGTTGCTGGTGTGTCAATAGTGGTCGAAATTACTTTTGGTTCAGTTTCACTTTGTAATAAAGAATTTTGATGAGGAGGCGAAATTGATTGCTGTTCTGTAATCATTGCAGAGTTATTTGGAAGGTCACTGTTTGTTGTTGTTTCACTTTCAGATTTCGATTTAGTGTGACGTATGGAATAAGTCAAATCTAATGCATTCGACATTGTAGCTGAAACGGCTTGACGACGATTTGGAAATAATTGAGATCCTAAACAAACAACTTATTCAATAACAAACATTGGAAAAAAGAATAAGAAACAGACGAAAATTTAATTAGAAAAATGAAGATTAGAATATCATAGGGATTACACCATAAAATCTAAAATTAGCAGTAGAAGCTAAACCGAAGAAGTAGACATACCGTCAAACACATATGTTTCTAAAACCAATTCTCTTGCTTCACGTTGTCCACTATTTGCTTTTAAATAAGCTGTTGTGGTAGCTGTTGTCAATAAGTCAACTTTTTCTCCTGATGATAAACTGTTTATTGGGCTGATGTCAAGAGTATAAAATGGAGCTAAACAAAAAGAGTAGTATATCAAAGAAAGATGTATTCTATTATAAGATACAGAATGCAGCTCTTTAATTAATTAAATTTTTCAATTTAATTCTTCGAATGTAGTCAACTCGAACGTTGTTTCCTGTGTGTCTACCTTGATATGTAAGATAATTTAATGAAGTTAAATCAGCTGAATAAGCATCATCAATTTCTAATCGAAGACAAATAGGAACGACCATAGAATCTAAAAAAGAAGTCAAATAGTGGTTGTTTTCAAATTTGAACGATATTTTCCTACCTTTATTAAATAATCACCACATAAACAATTTTTTTGTTTAACCGGAATGATTTTAGTAGTAGAAAGCAACGTGGAAACGAAAAATAATAATACTAGCTTTGCTCTGAATAATACTAAATAAAAGATAATTATTTTATCTAAAACAAAATATGAAAAATGAGTTTTTATTTACTAAATATAATGTTATATAGGCAAAAGATATTCACTTTTAAAGTAACGCTTATTAAAAACATTATTTTTCTGTACAGGTTGGAAGAAAACAAGTTCTCAAGATTTTTTTCCACATGAACTATGATTGTTGCACGAAAAATAGATGCCAATAAAAGTCAACTCTCAGTACTGGTTGCCAGCAAAAGGATTACATGTTTCAGTGTAATAATAAAAAATGTTTATTATATTCTCTTTCTCTATTCGTAAATCTAAATCTTATCGGAATGTTGGGTATTCTATGATTGTTTACTTAGAACATATGACATATTGTGTCAAAAACCACATTCAGGCGGAAGACGCAAAATGTACAATGCATGCTTTACATCGATTTAGAAGAAAACTGTTATAGATTTGCAACAGTTTAGCACCTTACTTAGTGTCAAACATTTAAAGTTCTATCATGGCAGGTCACGCTTTCTCTTTCGTTTTCAAACAGAAGGTATCTGTCCAATGAACGAATCATTGCATAATATAAACTATGCTTGTAGCTTAAACAAATCAAAACATCCGATATTAACTCACAGCTTAAATTCGAAGAGAACTAGATTGTTCTTTTTTACGTATATAACAGAAGAACTGATCATTATTTCTATCTCACGCAAATACGAGGTCACTACTTCCAACTTGAGGAATCAGATGTCCTACATGTATATTCTTACATAATAGCTAAGTTGTCACATTCTCCCTTCTGCAATGTAGTGTTTAGTGCTAAGAAGAATCTACAATTTACAGGCGTCTTAACGATATTTATTACAAAGGGGCCAGGAGGGTGTTTCATAAAACTTCTTAGGTGCTTGACTTAACTTAAATAAGTGTATAAAATTAACACGTAAGTGTACGAAACGAAGACTTAAGTATGACTTGAGTCTACACTTAGTTAAGTCGAGCACTTAAGAACTTTTGTGAAACACCCTCCAGTTTCTTAAAAAAACTTAAGTCATCGACTTAAGGGAGCCTCCTTAGGAATTCGATGTTTTCTTCAAAACCTGCGAAACTGAAGTAGCCATACGATTCAGTATCCCACAGTATCATCTTTCGGAATCCGTCTTAGCCGCAAATTCAATGTTTTTGGAGGATTTTGAAAAAGATTTCTGAAAGCCCTAAAAATCACCTTTTTCTAAATTTCACGTTTTAATTAAAATTTTTAAGGTTATCCGTTGTAACAGACATGGAGCTATGTTGAATAGAGTGTTCTGATCAGAATGAAATGTCCAGCAGATTTGTACGACTTTGTCTTGCACAGTTATACTAGTTTTGCTAAAGACCCTGAACTATAATTAATGAAATGATAACGTCATTGCTTAGAATATGGTTTTAGCGCAGTAAAGTTGTAATAACTCCTAGACGATTCGTTGTAAAACGTTCATTCTTTTTTTATTTTGAAGCTAAGACATTTATCTAAAGTTTTACCTGCGGCGATTTTTGATTTTTGTTTTCTATGCAGAGATAAGTGGCAAATACTCCACCGAATTAGTGTTATTTTCAGAGGTCTGACTTAAAATACGTGTAAGGAATGAACGGAAGCGAAATGCAAAAATCGCCGCGGATTAAATTTAGATCTAGGTGTTTACTTTCATTTGAGGCCTCTCGCAGCTTTTTGTACTTTTCAACAAAAAAGCCATAACGCTTGTACTAAGAGCCCCATTTTCTCCGTTGTCACGCAATAACTCGGCAGCGCTTCAACGTTTCGATTTCAAATTCTTAGCATAGGCTCGTAGGACAGTAAGCATTAGTCACTGAAAGCGCCATCGAAATCGAATGTAAGTTAAAAAAGTTTTTCCTGAGGGGAGTGTCCCCGTAAGTCAAAGTTAAGTGAAAAAATAAGTCACAATTCTGATAAACTTGTCTGACCGGTGAAAAGCTATAGCAACTGCTTCTGTAAACTAAGATGGAAAATATGAACGTCCTCATCGTGAAAAATATGCATCAATTCTGTAGTAACAAGGTCGAGTTACAACAGAATAAATAATAATTCCGACAGTACATTCATTCGGCTTACAGGCAATGAACTTTTATTCTACGAGCATGTTTTAACAAATTTACAAAACCACTAGCGATAGAAGCTTCTGAAAGCAAGTGAATGAAACCATAAGTAAATACAGATGCATAAAAGCGGCATCTAACATACCATACATTTAGTTTAAAATAAAAAATTGTAACTAAACATCTTTTTAACAGAGCTGCTCTAACATCTTGACGTATCATATTGCTCATTAATTAAAATTTGTTTACTTGATATATATATGATATATAAGTCGCTAATGTTCTGGTTGTGATAGCTTACGATATGGACCAATGACATTCTGAGATTCGGCTTTTTGATTGATTGTTTGTAAAAAAGCGGAAATCTGTTTTTTGCTTCTGGTTGTACAAGTTGTCATGTTTTTTCCCAGCAGTCTGACAAAAATATTTAATTTATCTAGTGTGAGATGCAAGTAATATAAGTATGAGAATAAATGCGGCTGTTTCCCCTTCCTGGATTTTCAAAAGTATCTCTAAGTTGGCAATAGAATAATAAATTACCAAGTAACAGTTTCAGAATAGTAACTATTAACTGTACTAATAATCGAGTAAATCTGTATATCCTTATCAAAATGTATGTTTGTAAGTGAAACATTAAAATGTCTTGATTTTAACGGTATGATATGTAATAATCAAAGGGAAGAGGGATCTGATATTTTTACATACCAAATAATCCACCTCATTTATTGTTTTCTTACCCAACATTGTCAGCGATTTTACTCACCGACGTAGAAAAAATTAATTTTCTCCCTATTCTGTTGTAGATAATTACGTTAAAGATGAGTGAAGAAGCATCTTCTGACAATAACAAATCACGCTCTGATCCCACTCAAGAACAAGAAGTAAAACAAGAAAATGTACAGCAGCCAATTAAGGAAAATGAAAACGAAAATAAAACAACGGCACCAATAGAAGAAAATAAAAATAATGAAGAAAATAAAATCAATGAAGAAAAAACATCAACAAAAACGGAAGAACAGTCAACTGATGATAAACAAGAAAATGTCCAAATAACGAAAGAAAAGCCAGAACTAATTTTGAATGAAAAAGAAGAAAATGAATTTGATGACCGTGCGTACCAGATCTTAATACGAGCAAAACTACAATTTTTATTGAAATTAAATGTTTTTTAGATAAAAAAGAAGAAAAAGACCATCAAAACCCAACGCAAACGGAAACACTATCCCCAGCTCCGGTGAAAAAATTCAATTTTATTCAAGATATTCGTTATTCATGCGAAAACATTGAACGTGATAAAGTAATTGAAAAATTTAGTAAATACGAATTCTCTAGTGTATATGCTTGCAGTATAAGATTTTTAATTTTTACACCTCAACAAAAAAAATTATTTGGTTATAGACATCAAGGTAAAATGAAAGAAACCTCTCATAAAGAAAAGTGTAAGCTAAGAATTTTTCTGTATTTGTAGATATCAATGGATCATTCACCGAATTAGGAAACAACTTCGGTGTCAAAATTTATGTAAGTATTGCTTCTATTGTTCTTGTTCGCTCATCAGTGACGCATTGTGAGTGAATATTTTACTGTGAACTCTTCAAAGCCGACGTCTACACTGTTCAAGTAATCAGAATTATTTCTGATTTTATTTCATAAAACTGGTGATTAGAAGTCTCTTTGAAGAAACGCTCTGCAAGTGAAACGCAAACGGAAATTACTGTGACTGTTTCAACAAGTTTTTTGTTTAAATATAAAACTACGTTTTTGTTTTTCTAAATTTTAGCCTGGTTATCAATCGTTCCACAAACAATCGTATAAAATATTTGGCACTGAAACAAATGTTCAGAAATGTCTACAAGACATTCTCTCAAAATTATTTGTCAACGATCGACAATATCAGCGTGAAAATCGCTACAATGAATTGGATCGATCACGAACTACTAATGATGAAGAAAAACAGTTACAATCAACAGCTCCTAGTAAGAAGAGGAGTGAATCTTTTTTTGTCTGATATTTTATTCTATCAGCTTGAATCTTGACTATTGAGTTAAAAGATGAAATTTATGAAGTTCTCGAACAAACATTTTAGAATCCGACTAGCAGTGTGAAATTATGTCTGCCTGTGTTCTGAATATAAATACAGTGCGCTGCAAAAATTCTGGGACACTTTATTTACAGTCGCCATCCATTATTAGAAACATTCTGCATGATATATTTTATTGAAAGTGCTACTATTGTATCTGATACAGTAAACATTTCTTTAAAAAATGAAATGTTACGCGACTCTGTTCGATGAACGTTTGATGAGATATAAAAATTTTGAAAGACGAGAAAAAGTACGCTTTTGGTGCCATCTGAAAAATAATCATAACTTTTTACGATAAAATGTTAGAAATGTGAACGACGTTTCAGTTTGAAGAGAAATATTTTTATTACAAACTGAAGTGCAGTACACTTCGAACAGTATTGCCATTCAAATGTAGTAGCCTTTAGAAAACCGTCGAAAATGTGACAAAATTATAAAAAATCATATATGATAAAGAATCAATCTTTTTGACGGTTTTCTAAAGCCTACTACATTTGAATGGCAATGCCGTTCGAAGTGTCCTAAAAGTCTTGTTTATTCAATAATGAGAGTAAAATCTATTTTTACCTTGTGTTCTTTTAGCTCAGTCAACAACAGTCACTAAAGATGACAGTTTAATAACATCTCTAGATGCAACATCGCCTTCAGTCGAACCATCTGTAAAACAGTCTCAACTCAAATCTGAAGAAAAAACTACAGACGATACTAAAAGTATTCAGCAACATGCGTTTGTAACAACCCTAAGCAGTGATGAAAGTATTCAAGAACAAATAATTGTTAGTGGTAAGGAGCAACCAGAACAACAAGTAGAGGTTGGTGAAACTAAATCAGAGGAAATCAAACCAACAAATGAACAGTCACAAGAAAAAACCAGTGAAGAGAAAATACCGAGTACTGAGAATATAAATTCTACACTTACATCTGATGAACAAAAAGAAAAATCGTCACATGTCGATAATTCTGAAATAAAACAAACAATATCTGAACGACGAGAAGAAATACCTCAATATCATCCAGTAGAAAAAAAAACATCAATGACTTTTACATATTTATTATTAAAAGAAGTTGTTGATCTTTGGAAAAGTATGTTTATACCGCAATCTAAAACACGAAACATGACATTGATTTTCTGTTTAGGAAGTTCATATTTCATTGGTATATTGCAACAACGTTTAAATGTTACAATACAACGGGTATGCATTACATAGACAAAGAATTGAATATACTGAAGGTCGACTTCTGTTTATTATAGCCTGGTCCAAAATTTGGTGAAAGACAATACGAATTACAAATTACAGGCGATACTATCGATTCAATTGCGGATACATGTATTCGGATAACAGCATTTTTACAACATGAATTAGGCCAAGAACCAGAAATATATAAAGGTAACAAATATGGCTGAATCAGCATTAAATAGAAAAGTAGTAAAAATCAAGGAATACGCACAACAGTACTAGTGTGTCAGAAAACTTTCAATTTATACAGATAATCTCTTCCTATTTTTGAACATGCAATTGTTTATTTCATTTAGATCATCCAAACCCAAATGTTAAGACGCCTGCAAGCAGTGGAGATCAACAAGATAAAATAATGAGTGAAGATGAACCACATTTGTCGACATCTGTATTTCCACAACGTTTAACAAATAATTATAATCGTTATGAACAATCTCATCAACAAAGGAGCGAAGTTCGTTTTCATACTGATCAAAATCGAACTGGATATCCGTTTCAACAGCAACCACCATTTTCTAATTCAGTTTATGAACAACAACCGCAACAACAAAGAAGATTCGATTATAATAATGCACAACAACAATTTCATCCGTCCTCACAACAGTATCAACACCAACAACATTTACATGAATCACAACAGCAAATATATCATCCATCACAACAGCATCAACGAGGTTATCAACAGCAGCAGTTCGACACAGCAATTTTAATTAGAACGGAGTGTGTTGCAAGAGTCATCGGTAAGTCTGATAGAAAATAATCTCTGTTGTAAACGCATGGTTGATAGTTCTTTGTCGCGAAAAAACTATGGTAATAATATGAACTGTAGAATAGAATTTATATTTCAGCGCAAAAGATAAATTATGGTTTATGGTTGTACTTGAATGTATGGGCCATAATATTGAAGTTGGCTTTCTTCTTTTCTGACCACTAATACGCTTATACTATTTTTATACATTTTTATCTAAATATCTCATTTAATCCATTTTGAATTCCTAATAAAAGGTACACTCAATTTAGAAACACCTTTTTCTTGCGTTGTTACTGTATGTATTCAATTTTATTTATAGGTAAAGGCGGTGTAAATTTAAAATATATTCATAATCGATGTCATTTACATAATATTGAAGTTGAACCGAAAGATCCTAGTCGTCGTAAAGAATACATTCGATGTGATTTAAGTGGTGATCAGCATTCAATCACTGATGCTATATTAATGATACGAGATATGTTAAAACGAGATGGACCTGACGCTGTGAAAGAACTTCCAGATTTTCATCCACATAGATTTACTGAACAACAGTTTAACGAACAGCAACAATATTATTCACTTTCACCGGAATATTCAACTCAACTCCCTCCTTCTCATTTTCAAGCATCATCAAATAATCCATTTGCTACTCCATATATCAGTCATATTTATCGAACAGATCTAACAGCAAAACCACTAGATTTTAGTAGCAATTCTCAAACTCAACCACAGCAACAGCAAGGATCATCGTACACTTTTAATAAAAATAATTTGAACAAAACTAATGGACAAATACCACAATTTGATTTTGTCCATCAACCAACATCAGGTAAGAATAGAAAAAGAGTATACTAAAGAAAGACCCATTCTTTTCATCAAATCAAGTCTCAATTATGAGAAATGGTAACTTCAAAGCTACTTATTCATTTTCATTGTTTTAGGGAAAAAAGATAAACGTCAAAGTGAAAGTTTCGAATTTGTTGGTTTATCATCTACTGGCAACCAAGATTCATACGAACTTCAGCATCAACAATCATCTTTATCGAATTCTTCATCGACATCACCTCATCATAAAACAAAACGTTCATGCCCAGAAACAAAAGAGATTCCAACCGGTACTGATGAAGGTTACTGGATTTCTCAAGTTCATTTAGTGCAATTAAACGAACATGATCGACAAGAATTTCAAAACATATTAAATAAAATTGAGAAAATAAAAATAGAGGAGGATAAAATGAAAAGTAAACCACATCAGCAACCACATTCATCATCTTATCGTTTACGTAAACAAAATTATCCCACACAAGTTTTTCACAGACAACGTGCTCAAACAACCATTCCATCGTCAAATGGATTTGATTTCAATCTAAAACAACATAATCAGCCGCAACACTTTGATATATTAACATCAGAGGATAATCAAAACAAATCAATACAAAAGGTGAGAAGTACAGTTATCGAATAAAATTAAAATATTTAGTTCAAGTGTATTAGAAGTGTATGCGTCCAATTTTCCTGCTATATACACGACATTTCTTTTTTTGTTTTTAGACTGGTGACTTGGTAACTTCTTCTACCCCTTCCTCATCTGTTGTTGAACAACTTTCGAGTAATGTAAACACTACATCCAACGATGAAAATGTTAACAAACAACAAGAACAAAAATCGACAACATTAAAACAAGATGAAGGAGAAAAAGCAACTGGGGAATAAATACCCGCGCTTTTTGTGCTTTTTTCTACCTAGTCACACTTTTCAGATATAAACTTGTGTGCTTGTATATTTTGTAAACCAGAAAATTATTTAAGTGCGTAAATTTCCACCGGTGTGTGCATTTTTTTTTATACAAAAAAAAGTTTTTTTTGCCTATATTTTGTTTGCATGCTTTTTCCTTTTGAATAGTTGTTTTTCGCTCTCTTTCTATTTTTTTTGCTCAACCTGATGCTAGTTTTGCTTATAAACAAGGCTTTTGTTGAGTGAAAATGACAATAGGCGGACTGCTCTGTTTTGTAAGTGTGCGCGTATGTATGGTTAGGCCGATAAAGATGTTCTTATTACCAAGAGAGTATTATTCTCCTTTACTATAAATTTATATTTTTGTTGTCTATTTTTATTACTCATTCTCACTCACTTTTCTTTTTTTTTGCGAAATAAACTTGATTTGTTATGAAACAAGTGCTAATAGAATAACGCCTTTTGTACATTATTGAACTTTTGTCGTTCCTTGGTATGTTAACTGATATCGATTATACACTTTCCTGATAATCCTATTAATAATAATATCAAGTTCCATAGTCATGAAAACCATCCAATTTTGCCGTATAACATGTTCTAAGAAAACATTACCATATTGACTATTATAAATTGAAATTGATATAAAAAAAAATATGATTAACAGAAAGAAACTGACAAAAGAAAAAAAATCGGTGGATCATCTGAAGAGTAACTGACATTTTTTTCCTTTACTGGAGTTTTTCACCACTTGTTTAGGTCTACTATCGATTTCACTTTGTGCAACTTTTGCAATTCATAGTGGATCTAATAGATTAGACGAGCATCCATGTATAGGGGTCGGACAGTTCTACTTAGCATTCCTGGTAATTGGTCATCAGTATCATCGCTTTTTTTCATGATCAGAATGCAGGAAAGCGGATTGCTTATTTATCTTGATTTTATACTGTAATGCATTTAGTTCAGCTCTCACACATGGTACTGCAAAAATTTTATCACGTTAAGATTCTTAAGTTTTCCTTACAAGGGAAAAATATCAAGATTAGATGCGAACCGTAGTGATCTCGCGTTAAATGTCAAAGGACCCTATCGGATTTCAAAAGTATGTCGAACCAGAAAGCTGTATATCAAGTTTTGTAGAGGTTCTCGCGACGGATCTAAATCTGTATTGGGTTTGGGTTAATACCGTCTGGTTACCGAGATATGGGTGTCACCTCTTTAATCGGTATTGATGTAAGAGGAAGAGTCGAGATTCGATAAGGTAGAACGATTCGGTAGAAAAAATTCTGAGCAAAATAAGATATCTCCCGACTGTCTATAACGCTTTCCACCGGAACATTTTGATAATTTTCACACCCTTCGTAGCCGTTGGTAAATCGACTACAGCTAGGTGAAAAAGCGGTATAGACAGTCGGGAGATATCTTATTTTGCTCAGAATTCTTTCTACCTGGGTGTCTATTCTTCAGAAAAATATGTAGTTTTTCGTTAAGACAAAAGAGTATTCTGCAGCTGTTTTCGGTAGTCCAGCGCTTTCTTTGCATGTCTTTTGTGACTGATCCCACCAGTCAAGGTACTCTAACTAGCTCAGTTTGTAGAGAATTTCACGGGCTATCTAATCGTGTATAACTGGAAACTTGCATCCCTTTTTGGCAAGATTTTCTGATCAATGATCTTTCGACGTTCAATATCGTCCTGTATACTATATATAAAATGAGTCTAGATACTTTTCCTTTGTAATATAAGCTGAATCTAAAGGATGCATTTTGTTCAGAATTCAACACTCTATAAAACTACATGTGGCTTGGCCGATAAATGTGTGGTTTTCGAAAGACAGGCCCCGTCAAGATCCTCCTTGGGGTTTCTTGTCCCCAAAACGCTTTTTGTGTTTTGACCATATACTCCGTCAGACTCAGTTTCGTTCGTAGATTACGCATATGGCGTTAAAACTGGTTGATAAGTAAATCAGACCAGAAAGAAACAAGTTTAAGCCCAAAATATACCCTATTCTGGTATACTTATTTTCAGTGAAGATTTTTTTCCCATAGATGCAGATGGATTTCAGATCTCCACATGAATGCGGCAGATAGAGCTCATACTCATACAGTTTTCGACAAAATTAGAATTTGGTTCTTTGGTTTATTTGGGTTTTACAGTTATTTTACTGCGCACATGTAATATGGGTATGATCGATGTTTTTTCTTAAATGACCCTTTCCTAGAAGAACCAGCCTCTAGTGCCCATTACCGAACTAGTTTGTACAGTTTTCATTGCTTTACAAGAATATAAGTAAGACAACATCTCATTAAAGAGGTGACACCCATATCTCGGTAACCAGACCGTATTAACCCAAACCCAATACAGATTTAGATCCGTCGCGAGAACCTCTACAAAACTTGATATACAGCTTTCTGGTTCGACATACTTTTGAAAACCGACAGGGTCATTGCTAGTCAGAATCACGGCTATTAATATAACTACTACATTAATAACTACTTATTGCTGGAGCTCAAGTTATAATGAAAGAAAAGAATATTGGTCATTTTTAAAGAAATGTTGGACATCGGGTTCACCAGAAGCGAATTAGCCGGATGATACGTAATCATGGCGGAGGAGTGCGTCTCGAATTGATGGCAGGGCGCAGGTTGGGAGTCAAAAATTATGGCGTAATCCCCTAATGGGCCAACTAAACATGACAGACATTCAAAATTCCTTGTTGAAAGAGGAAATCATCTGATGAGGCCCTTCAGCAAGGCCGAAACGCGTCGTGATGGCTAGTTTAGAGGATTTGCTTAGCCAATACTCACCTTCATTTCCATCGCTTTAAATATATACTATAGAAACGCACTGGTAAGCTCAGGAGAAAAGTGAAGCATGGGTATGAGATACTTTTCAGATTTGATCGAGATGGGATGGATTGAAGAGAAATATGTCGATGGACATCACCAATTTTCCGGGACTACGTTCACACGTTTTCACGGAGTGTATTGAGGAAATTTCGGCACTCGACCAAGTCATCACAGTCAGGTTGAAAAACTTGACGAGCGTAGTAGAGAGCTCGCGCTGCATGTTCAACGGCTTTATCAAATTGACCAAGTTCTTCGAATACCATGGCCATGCGCATATAGGTATAGTATATTGGTTTAGGATCAGGAGGACTACATTTTAGTTGGATATCAAGCAGCTTTTGATAAAAAGGCAGTGCACTGGAATTGTAATTCATAGACTCATAGATGTTACCGATGGCGACGTACAATGAGGCCAAATCGTTATGATCGACAGAAAAAGAATTTTCAAGTATTTCTAGCGCCTTTTGATAGTTTGATAATGCATTCGATTTATCATCCATAGACCGATAAACTGTACCGAAACCCGTGTATAATAAGATGAAGTCTGGGTGATCAGGAGGACGAGACTTTTTGTAAATTTCAAGTGTTTTTGTGAGGTATAAGAGTGCATTTGAGTGGTCATTTATAGACGCATAGATGGCGCCCAGAATTTGGTAGATTTCGATTAAAAATTGATGTTCAGGAGGAAAGTATTTTGTCAAGATTTTCAATGCTTTTTGAGCATAATGGAGTCCAGACGACGTGTCTTTCATACAACAATACGTGCTACTCATATTCCCGTAGATTTCACCCAATAATTGCTTATTCGGGGTGCGAGATTGTTGTTCTTTTTCAATTGATTGTTGATAAAACGAAAGTGCTTTCGGATAATCTGTCATTGAATTATATGTGCTGCCAATATTATTGAGGATACTAGACAAAGTTGGACACTTAATCAAGAAATTCTGTATTGCAATCTGTGGTGAAGTATCGAGTGCCTTTCGATAGTGTAAGAGTGCAGTCGAGTATCTTCCCATCAATCGATGTACTTCACCCATATTGTTGTATATGGCAGATAAAACTCCAATTGCAGATGAGTCTGGAGCCTGGTGAGTTTCAAGTGCCTTTTGAAAATACAGGAGTGCTGTGGAATAGCGTTTCATCGACAGATACACTTCACCGATGTTGTTGTAGTTACTAATCAGATCGCTGATATTGGAAGGAAAAGAGTTTCGTCGGATTTCAAGAGACTTTTGAAAAAACGATAGAGCACTTGACCATTGTTCCATTAAAAAGTATACTTCACCAATGCTGCTATAAGTGCTAGCTATATCTGGATGATTGGGAGGTAGAAGTCTTTGTTTGGCTTTAAGACCTTTTTGATAAAATGAGAGTGCCGCCTGATATTCATGTTTCGTTTGATGCAAAAAACCCGTGTTTATGTACGCAACAGCAATTTCTACGCATTTAAGAGAAAAGAGAGATTTCGTATTATTTCAAGTATCTTACAAAAAAACCGAGTGCACCTAAATACGTACTGGCGGCAGTATGCGATTGTACTGGTCGAGAACCATCTGTCGGTATTGAGCTACCACATCCCATCAGATCCTTGTTGGTGTCGATGTTTTATCTGCATAATGAATGCCATCGTTTAAGGTGCCGACAATTCGAACTTTAAGTAAAACTTTTTTTCTGATTAATTCATACGTAGTTGGATAGAGCGCGATGAGCTAAGTAAGAAGAAGTAGTTTTCAATTTTGGAAACAATCTTTTACGGCTGAAAAACTTGAAATAGTTGAAGAACGCATGTTTTCGAAAAACCGTTCATTTGCAAAAAAATCAACAACAAAATATAAATAAAAACAAAATATTTTCAAAATTTTGTATTGGTTCGACTAATACAGAATTTTCAAAATATTTTGTTCTATAACAATATACAGAATTTCGCATTTGTAACCATTTTTTACGTTACGCCGCTTATATCTTTGCACTTTTTTTGCGTTATTCACTTGATTCACGCAAAAAAGTTTTTAGTTTTGGGAAATGAGGGAAATCTCAGGAACCTTTACTAACTCCTAAATCAGCAAGACGAAGGGCGGTATGGTCACCGACATCGCTGAATGCTTCCAGGATATCGATTTTAACATTTCGTATGG